TTTTCCTTAAAGGGCAGTTGAAAATGTGCAATTTCATGTAGGATTTGTAGAGCAATTGTACTTCAATGATCCAGTATCTGGAATTGTCTTGTGTATGCAATTGGTACATTTGCGCCATCTCTTTTGTAATCCCTATACTTTTCCAAAATAATTTCTTGTAATAGTTGAACTAGTTCCAAAATCACAACAGCAATTTCCACTGAACAATTCAATGGCCATGCATTCTCTCCCGTTCATTTAAAGTTACTTTTTAAGTTTCCATATTCTTTTACCTATTTTCCCAGTCGACGAGCATAGATAAAAACATAAAATTGCTCGGCCGACGGCCAGTGATCCACGTTCCAACGAACAAATCGTAGGGGGATTGTATTTTCCGATGAGTTCGATAAAAAATCCACCAAAATTTACAGTGCTTTCGAACTAGTGCAAACCTTTTAAGCTGGAGAAATTCTAAGAGAATTCCCAAACCCGTTTTGTTCAAGATTTTTAAGAAGACGTTTTTAAAAGCATTTTCTAGAGAAGATTGGAAAAGATAGTATACCTTCCAGAGAAGCCCTTAAGGACCCAAAATGCCCTCTCACTAACTGACAGACTTACAGTCTACTTTGGTTGTAAAAAAGTTCTGCTATACCAAAAAGTCAAATTTTTCAATTTAATTATTGCTCACTTCTAACGCCTAAACTAAATTTCAAAATAACGGAATTCGAGCTACAATTATTAATATTTATTAACGAGCGCAAATAAGCGAGTTTATGATTATGGACTTTCTGTCCGCCCGTCTGTCTGTGTACATGCGATTATTTGCGAATGGTTTCGAATGTTCCAATTCAGTTTATGCAATCATGTAATAAAACTGATTTTTGAAGTGAAACTTCTTTAGGCAACGTAGGGTAAGTCGAATAGTACGAGCGCCAACGGCCACGGTCACGGCAATAGTGAAACGCGAATGAGTGTAGAGCGCACGGATTCCCCCACTCCTCACGCCCGCACGTTGGAAGTGGGAGCACGAGGGGAATCTTTCTGAAATGAGGACGGTTCAATTGACGTGCTAATTAGTTTACCGTTCTTAATCAATTGACCTACATTTATATGAGATTCGTTTGCATTTCAAACTAGGGATGTTTTACTTCTGTCGTGTGTAATGCCTATGCACAGTTTTTTTTAAATTCAAAATTTTGTTTTTTTAAATATGGCGATACATTAAAAAAGTAGTTTTTGAATAACTTAATGTGCAATTGTTTTTGGTCTTTGCTAATTTAATCAATTTCGTAGTTGCAATAATAATAAAAATAGCTATAGTGCTGATTTCCCTTTGAGCACATTGTATAAATATCGTCGGACACCCTGTATGTTCAAAAACTCTGAAAGTTAGTAAAGTTGGTAGCACTGATCACAAACAAAACAAAAAAATTCAAATTCTTAGAAAAAGTAACTGTCTTGTGCTCTTGTCTTTTCATTTGGGATTTTCTTCATTTGTTGTCTTAGTTTATTCATCACGTTTAACGTTATTTTCAAAAATGAATCCTGTGATAACATTCAATAAGAGCTATGAACATAGGCTGCAAGAATATACAGAGATTTTAACAGACCCTCACCATAAACTTGTTCACTCCTCCCAAGTGCACAAAAAATGGTCAATTTACGCGGAATTGGCTATCCAGGTATCTGGATGGTATGCCATTTGGAAGATACCGAGGCTTATATGCGAACAACTTAAAATTGAATTCCCGATAACTGTATTTGTGCATGTGGTAGATGTCCATTACGAGAAACTGGCAGCTACCGTTAAAGTTCTTGCAGATGATGGCGACACAAATTTGTCAGGTAGACATTTTATCGTTCCACTAATCGAACTATGGCCGACCAAAAAACAAGATCCATCTCACCAGCCAGGTCTTTCCTCGACCGCCGACTGCCTGGATAGTTTACGAGTGTTTTATCTTTACATCTTTATGCCGTGGGATTTAGAAGAGGACGATTCCATAAATTGGGTTCGCGAGCATTTGGAATCACGTCTACGTTTGTTTTACGAAATATCCACTAATAACATTCCGAAGCATACCGCTGTACATATAAATAACTTGATAACTGAGGCGCGGCATTTACATAAACGACGGTGCGTGGAAGACGATGCGAAATATCGCGTGCGTATGATGCAAATCCGGAACGAAGTGGAGTTTCTTGAGAATCCCCTCTTGCGGCTTGCCCTGCTTAAACGGCGGGAGCGATTGGTACCGAAACGTAAAGGTAACGAGCCGGCTCACGTTGTGGTACTACCCCAGGGCAAAGTGGACGATTACATCACGTTTCTTAACCATGTCAAGCCCCACGTCGGCGCAACGAACGTCCGCTACAAACCCTCGTTAAACACAGCCTTAATCGATGGGGCCACCGACGATGTCATTTTACTCAGCAACTGCAGGCATAGCTTTAAAGAATTGTACGCCCTGCAGAACGGCGGGGTGTTAAAAGGTCTGTTCGGGAGAGACGACACGGTCGTATTCTCGCCGCAGGAAATCAACATGTTGGACTGCTGTGGCACTTGCACCTTCGAAAATCTAACGATAGAAGTACAAGCCGCTCAATGCGGCTTACTCGTTCGGCAAGGCACGGTTACCTTGAAGAATTGTAAATTCGTTAATGCCGTCAAGTCCCATACGTGCGACGGTATTATTGTCTCCCCTGGTGCAATATTAAACGTAATCGACTGTGATATTGTCGGCTTCGAGAGAGCCATCATTGCAAATTTTCTCTCCAAAGTACATGTGACCAATACGAAGATAGAAAATGCCCGTTTCGGTTTGACAATTTACGATAACAGCACCGTTAAATTGGATTCGTGCCACTTCAGAAACTGCTGTGATTTTGCTGTAGGAGTAGAGACTCGTAACGAATTAGAAGATTGTCCCAATGGCAACTTTGACATGTTAAAAATGTATGTCCTTAAAGTATCCGAAAAATACATTGATGATTCAATTGTTTTTTTGCAGGTTTCCGTTTGTCACCATTAAGAATGTTACGGGAGAAGGTAATGGCGCTGATTGTAATATCAATTCTGTTGGAGAGATAGACTTGATACAAGATCTTTTAAATGCTCAATCAGATGACGATTCAAGCGATGAGACGCTTGACACAACTATAGTGAAGTTGAAATAAAGGGTCTTAAGTTGATCAATTTCTTTGAATTATAAATTAATGTTAAGTTTAGAAATTTGTTATTTATGTTTACATTGTTTATAAACGTGGGGATTTCAATTAAAAGGTTCATTAAATTTCTCCTGCCCTCTCGATTTTTTCCCTCAAGGAATTCACGTTCAGTTTAGACTGTGGAAAACATCCTTTACCACTAAATTTTTTTTAGTGAGCAACAAAATTTCTATTTATAACCTAATTCCTAGTAAACAGACTAAAAATAACAGGTTACACATCAGGTTGGCTAAACAATTTACTGAAACCAGACTGCGGCTGAGAAGTCGTCACTTTTTCGTCAGCTTTCTGTTGAAGCTTCAAAAGTACCTGTAGCATCGCAGGATCATAGCCGACTTTATGAGAAGCTATGTGCTCTTTTAATGAATCGGGATAATCAAATTTACCGTTCTCCGCATCTTTGCCAAGTTTCCTCGCTTCACTCCACGACCTGAAAAGATTCTACATTTTATCCAACACTTAATTTGGCATTAGCCACTGCCGCAAAATAAATAAGGTAAGTAACATTGCGAAGGTACTGCAATGAATTTGGTAGTGGCATCATGCCGTGTATTAAAAATCCGGAGGTGCAATTTGTTACATAATGTACTAAATACAAGCAAAATTTCACCTCCAGTTGAAATAAATGAAAAGAAAATTACAAATAAAGCCATCCACATATCGCACTTAAACCAAGAAAGCCCAAAGAATAATAGTGTCGTTGTCTGTAGAATGGAGTTCCTTTGGTGCGTCTAGGCTTTCTGAGACTTTGGTCAATATTTCTATCACTCATAATGTAAATAAATTATGTATAATCACTTCGAATTCGAAGGTGTAGTTTATAATTTTTTTGAGGTTATAACTAACATTAAGCTGTCCTATGTACAGTGTACGGCAAAATACAGGACATGCCTGGTGTAGCAGTAACCACAACTTTTAAACACTCGTTATGTGATTTCAATTCAATGAGATTAGGTCACGATCACCTGGCATTTCGGGTTCCGGAACGCCCTGTCCCAAAGCTGAGGTTACTGAATATAATTTTGATCGCAATCAATTTCCAAAATGGCGACCATTTAAATATTTAGGTACAATACCTATTTTTACTTTTCAACTATTTAAGTGGCCACCATTATAGATTTCCAAAAAACGCTACGTTTCCCAGCTACAAGCTCTTAAAGGTAAGCAATTTTCAAAAAACTCACGTTTTCGGTGGAGCTTTTGCTCTAGCTCCTTACAGTGGCGTATTTACGGAGGGGAAGGGGATATATCCCCCCCCCCCAGAAGAATTGAGTTATCGTCAAAGCTATTAGGTATTTAGGTAATACTCCGCTATCCGCTCCGCCCACTTTAAAATAAAGGCAATAATATATAGGTATATATAGAGAGCAATTTTGGTTTTGGTTAAAGTCTAAAGTCACTAAAATCTAAATATTCTGTAGTATTCAGTATTCACTATTCAGTGACTGATCAGTGTTGGCAGTCAACGATTTGGCTATTCGGCATCGATCGGCAATTCGCTACATTGATGCCCAAAATAACAAATAGGTATCAGGTACTTAGTACTGCTACTGAGGTGAGGTACCTGCGTCTTGCCTTTCACGAAATGACGAAAATTAGAATTTTAAATTTTAAAAACAGGAATTTTTTTGCCCATAACTTTTGATTGAGACGCCTAATCGAAAAAGTACGAATCGTTTTGGATTCTACGCACCCAAATTAATAAGAAAACGTTTTTTCCCGAGAAATTTTGGTGTAGTCGATTTTTGGTAAAAAAACGAAGGTTGTGCACTGCCTTTTTTTTTGCCCAGAAAAAAAATTGTCTCAGATGGACCGGAAATATTTTCTTATAGAATGTGGCCTGTAGAATCCATAATTTCAAACAGTTCCAAGATCGGACTACTAGATCAAAAGTTACAGCCCTTTGAATTTTTTGTCGAAATTGGTTTTTTGCCCATAAATATACCTATTATTCAAAGTTTTCGTTGACTAATTAAAGCAAAAGCAATAAAGGGGCCTGTCAGCAGTAAGAATTAAAATACCGTTCTAATCTAATCTTTTTCGCCTGTACAATAATAAATATATAATGACTACCAGCATCAGCAACCTGCAACCCATCAATTTCTATTTCTTACCCCCTCCCCCCTTCTAGTACGCACTGGGTGACTGTATGTGCCACGAACTTGTTTAATCCCTCCACAGAATAAATTTCTACGTACGCCACTGGCTCATTACCTGTGAAACTTCGAGATACCCTCAGAGATGATAACGGTATCAAATATGTCATTCTGCATTGCGGTTAAACCTACGAGTAATTTATTTTTTACTCGTAGGGTTAAACCAAGTAAATTTCAAGAACACAGATTCAAAGCACACCAAAAATATAAAAACACAAATAGGATAATGTAAAGAAATGCAAAGATTATTACCTGCATTAAAAAAACACAAAATATCAACAAACATTTATGGATAGACGCGTTCACCACCGCCATTCAAGACAGATCCAACCCATAGAATAACATCCAAACGTAACACCGTTCGTGCCAATGAATAATGGATTTTTTTTGTTCTTGTAAGTCTAATGTGTAATAATAAAGTTTTCTCCAATGTAATACATATGTAACTATAATTATTTTATTTATATACAAAAAAAGGTATAAAAAAATTACCATATGTAGGCGATGGCCTACGCCCTACGGCGTATCTGATGGCCGTTAATTATGAATTTAAAAAAACATAAAAAAGCATTTATTGAAAACTTACAAGAAATATTAATACATGTCATTCGGAATAGTTTTATGTATCTCAAGCCCTACTGCCCGTTTCGTCGTCGCATTTCGCCTACAACTACATCTGCACCGTCAACACATACTTCATTATTTAAAAAATGGTGGCCATTTTAATCTTCTAAGCTGGCCGCCATTTTGTAAAAAATGGAGTCAGTGTATTTTAAACATGAAATGCAAATACGAAATTTATTCATCGCTATCATGAATTTTGGCTGAATGCCTGGTCCAGTGTTAATGGGGGATTTTCAGAATAAAATGCATAAAGAATCATTTATATCGCAGTTTCTAGAAGTTCAAAATTGACCTTAGTAGTTCAAATGTTCACTGGTAGTTGCAGATCCACTGTTATTTTTTTTTTTAGGTTAACCCGCCGTTTACCCAAGTATTAACTATTGTGCATTATCACAATATTAATTAACTAACATTTGCTTATAATTCCTATTATGTCATCCAGTCAGGAGAATAATGGCGACTCAAAAAAACAGTCCCACATACGAAAACAAGGCTACCGTGAATTGCTACACAGGATTGAATCGATAGGTATTACGTTCCTTCGTCACACCCAAATAACGCTCTTTTTCAGAGGAAAACGAGGGCACCGGACTGAATACCATAAAAGATTTAGGGGAAGTTTTACACGAGGTAAAGCAAATTGACGATCAGTGCCCGTTTGTTAATCGCGTCGAGTTTCTCGATGAAACTCTACTGCAGCACGTCGTTTTATCCACTGCGGGCGGTCTTTTGGTGAAGTGCATCGAGAACGTTGACATTTTCACATCGACGTATGAGCCGACGGAATTCGCTTCGAAAATTGTAGGTTCACAATCGCTTAAATCATTGTTATTCACTTTTACCAACAGATAGATGAGATAAAAGAAACGGAGAACTTCAAACCATCTGATTTGTTGAATCTCTTAGACGACGCCCGTAAAACCATCCCTAGTGTATCCGACTACTCATTTTTGTATGGCACTTTCGATCCGACGAAACTTCCCGAGCCGAAACAGAAAAAAGAACGAAGCAAACGCGAGGCGCAGGAAAGTGTGCAAAAAACACAACTGGAAAGAGTTCACAATTTACAAAAGGACGAAGAAGGCGTGGACGATACTGTTAACTTTATAGCGAACGTGCTTTCTTTGAAATATAAAGAAAACAACAATAACCCAATCGCTTACTTTGATTTTGTGATCGACTCTGAAGATTTCGGGGCCACAATCGAAAATATCTTTTACACTTCGTTTTTAGTTCGCGATGGTAAAGCTAAATTGAATAGTGGTATGATAATTAACAGTTTTTGTTTAAATAAATTTCTATGTGTGTTTGTAGAAGGCAACATTCCATTTATTGAGCCAGTTCGCAAAAGTAATCTGAAGGCATTTAGGGGTTCAGGGGGTAAAAATTCCCAAATGATTCCATCAATTACTATGGATGATTGGGAGGTAAAATCATTATTTCTTTTTTACTGATAATGTTCATCTTTTTTTTAATTGGCATCTATCAATTAGTAATAATTAATTGACATCTGTCAAATCAGTACTACTTAAAAGATTCAGTCTGATTTAAAAATTTGTTAGATGCTGAGAACCAAGGAGGGACTGATAGAAGCTCGCAGAAAACTTTTGCAGTCCAAAACAACGTGACATTGGTCAAGCACTAAAATCCATCTAAGTGCATTTAAATTAGCAATAAACATTTTATATTTTGTGTTATAAAATCATTTTATGTAATAGAGGACTGTGTACTTTTGACTTATTACTTTTTTAATTAAGTTTTTAAGTCTTGGGCTGCAGTTCAGGGCCCTAGAATTCTAAGAACAGTCAATCTACATTGCAGACTTTGGACAGTAAAATGATAATGGAGAACACACCACCGTCTAATTTAAAAGTACACATGTACAAAAAATGGGCCAATAAAACAGCCAAAAGAATTTTAGAACATTTAATCTTTTTCACGTTTTTTTTTTCAAATACCGCCCCATAGGTTCAATCTGACATTCATCCCTTAGCTTGTTCAGGGCCACACCGTCTATAAAGGAGGAGATTCCAAAACGCAACTAGATAATGTAGATGCAACAAAACGTTTTTTGTAAGAGCCACTCCATTTGAATAAAAGAAATTAATTATTTAACATATTTTGAAAGAGAATGGGACTTCTGATCCAAATATACCTTATTAATGCTATATGTGCAGTGGCGTATGCGTAGCGCATTGCAGGTAGGTATTTGAATACTTGGAGAAGTATTCGAATACTTAACCTTCCTTTTTTACCAAAAATTGACTACTCCAAAATTTCTCGGGAAAACAATTTTTCTTATTAATTTTGGTGCGTAGAATCCAAAACGATTCGTACTTTTTCGATTAGACCTCTCAATAAAAAATTATTGACAAAAAACCAATTTTGAAAAAAATTCAAAGGGCTGTAACTTTTGATCTAGCAGCCCAACCTTGGAATTGTTTGAAATTATGGATTCTACAGGCCACATTCTATAAGAAAATGTTTTTTCCCGGTCGATCTGAGACAATTTTTTTAAATCTGGTATCTGGAATTCTTTTGTCTATGCAATTGGTACATTTGCGCCATCTCTTTGGTAATCCCTATACTTTTCCTTATTATTTTCTTGTAATAGTTGAACCAGTTCCAATGAGATGTCGCCACGTACGAAACTACATTCAAAATAACATTTTAATTTATGCACTTAATAGCCACGTCCGACTCAATTTTCCTTAAAGGGCAGTTGAAAATGTGCAATTTCATGTAGGATTTGTAGCGCAATTGTACTGCAATGATCCAGTATTTGGAATTGTCTTTTGTGTATGCAATTGGTACATTTGCGCCATCTTTTTGGTAATCCCTATACTTTTCCTTATTATTTTCTTAATAGTTGAACCAGTTCCAATGAGATGTCGCCACGTACGAAACTACATTCAAAATAACATTTTAATATATGCACTTAATAGCCACGTCCGACTCAATTTTCCTTAAAGGGCAGTTGAAAATGTGCAATTTCATGTAGGATTTGTAGAGCAATTGTACTTCAATGATCCAGTATCTGAAATTGTCTTTTGTGTATGCAATTGGTACATTTGCGCCATCTCTTTGGTAATCCCTATACTTTTCCAAATTAATAGATAGACTAGAAACCAATTTCGAAAGAAAATTCAAAAGGCTGTCTTTTGATCTAGCGGCCCAATCTTGGAACTGTTTGAAATTATGGATTCTACAGGCCACATTCTATAAGAAAATGGTTTTTCACGGTCGATCTGAGACAATTTTTTTTTCGAGCCAAAAAAAAGGCCTTCCTTTTTTACCAAAAATCGACTACACCAAAATTTCTCGGGAAAACACTTGTTCTTATTAATTTTGGTGCTTAGAATCCAAAACAATTCGTACTTTTTCGATTAGATATGGACAAAAAACAAATTTCGAAAAAAAATAAGTAAGAATTTTATAATATGAATACCAGGTAATCACATAAATAAATGCATAAAATTAGACAACCCTTCAAAATAAGCACTTTCAAATTCATATCTTCAGGGCATTAAACCAAAAAATAAAAAAATTATAGGTGAATTTGTTAATTTTTTTTCCATAAGCAAATTTCCAAAAATAAATAGTTAATTGCTAGGTTAATTGAAATATTTGGCGATATAAGAAAAATTAAAATCAAAATTATTTCAAATACAAAACTTGATTGATTTAAAAAAAAAACTTGTTATTTTATGAACACTATTATACAGTTATTAGTCGTGCCGTTCTTATACATTCACTACAACATTCCACTTTCCGATCACTCAACCAAACGGCAGTTGTATAGTCGCCTCTTACGACACGCAGCGCCCTCTGCGGTAGGGGTATTCTTTCCCGCCCCTACACGGGAAAGTCAGGTTTAAAATTACAAAACTATAGTAAGAAAAAAATACCACAAAATCAGCCTAAATACTGCCCATAGATCATATCCATTGCAAGGACCATAAGATGGAGAAGTAAGTATGGAAGTTCTGCATATTTTGTCACTTCCGTTGCCGCCTACGATTTCGGTATTTTATACCGGAATTATTCAAATATGGCAAGGTGTGCTGTGACGCTTTGATTGGCCAACGAGTCGGCGCGACTCAAGCCGAGGACAGGGTTTGTCAGCCGAGCCGCGACTTGTTTGTCTTAGTTTACGCATGCGCACACTTGATGTTTACAGTATGCAATATGTTTGGCTTTTCTAGAAGAAAAAAAATGACATGCGCACTTCGCGATAGATTGTTAGAAAATTGTGTTGTCGTCAGTTGTGTTGGTTTAAGTTCATGTTAAATTGACAAAAAAAACTTTAAATTTCAACGAATTTGTGTTGTGTTTATTGGGGTTAAGAATTTTTTTGTTTCAATTTAGGGGGAGAAATGTTAATTTACGTCGTTTGAACGATATCTAAATTTGTTTAAATAGCCGTTTCATTACATTAAGGAAAGATATGAGACATTTATTTATTTATTTAATTGGGCGTATGCCTGTTGAGGGCCCAAAACAAGAGAGGGATAAAATTAAAATTAAATATTTTAAGGAAAGAATAAGGAAGTGGAATCGAAGATGGGACAAGAGGGGAAAATGTTTAAGATATTTTATAAAAATAATCTTGAATGACATTTAAAAATGAAATAAAAATTATATAATATAAAATATTAATAAATATTACGGAATCGATAAGATTACCTGATACCAATCAATTTAAAAACCCAAAAAAAAATTCCTTTGTGTGTAGCTTAAAGGGTTCATTTTTTCATTATAACATTATTTATTATTATTTGAAGAAGTTATAACGGAGTAGGAGGTGTAAAAAGGAGATGAAGATCAACAATTCCAAATAACAGATTTAAAATCATCATTGCTTTATTTCTTCAATACATATCACTTTTTATACCAAAAGTTGTTTTACAATTTTACATAAAGATATAAAATGGTGGTTCTGTTTTGGTCATTGGTAAAAATCATTCACGAAATTGTATAACTGCCACTGTGTTCTTTATTGAATTTCCATTCGGTTTGCTGAATGCGATTTGTGATACGATATAGGATACAATTCATAGAGCTAATTTACGATTAACAATTTAATGTATGTTTTTTACACTCAACGACTATCCTTGTGTATATAGGCAGTTAATTTGTTCTATATTAGTTGGTATTAGATGATATGACACATTTTCACTGCAAGTATGAGAACAGAAAAATGAATTGATCATCGATGAGCTGTGTGAGTTTGAGATTTTGTAACAATTAGATAATATTGCTGTAGACACTGCTTAAAGCTAAGTACAAAGAGAAAGAAATTTAACTAATTCAATTGCCTTGGTGCTCCGATAGTTCCTATTGAGCATCAATTCCAATTTTTTTATTTACAATTACCTAATTCACTCGAGGCTGATTTTTTGAAGATGAACCAACAAATATAAAAATCAGCCTTTAAAGACTAGTCACTAGATATATATTGTCAGTTGTTTTTAAAAAATATACCTACAATATAAAATTAATTTATGTTTTTTTAATACTTTAATCTAAAAAATTTGATTCGTTACCATTTATCGATATAAGAGATAGATTATAAAGTGATATTTACTTACAGTATTAGAAAAATAAGTTATGACTTAAAATATCTACAAGCATCTGATAGTTTTATAATAATCAGTTTGTAAATTCTACTTCGACGATTAACAGTTATTGTGTGACTGGATATGATAATATGAAGGGTTATTGTTACAAAAATACCCAATAGCCATATTCACAACTGTATACAATTTTGATTTGGATATGTCACAATAGTACACGCCATTTAAGTTGACTTGCATAATACTCAAATTGTTTTAGAGTTTCTTAAAGTACAATTTAAGTAACTCTTTACAAGGGTTATATTAAGTACAGAATCCCGTTCGTCAAATGCTAGTTATTTAAGACTGTTTTTTTGATTTTTGCCAGATAAATCAAAAAAGGCAAGGCAAAACATGGAAGTGAATAAAGTAGAAAGTATGAGCATTCATAAAAAAGCCCGTGCCCCTGCTAAACATTAAGCTGGGGTTCAAATCATATCAAAATAATAATGATCTCTCCGCCATATGGAGCTGCAACGCCCTAATCAAAATCACCAACAAATTATTGTAAAAACAAGACTGGAGAAAAAGGTTGTATGATAAAGAACACGAAAATAATGCACAAAGCATTTTTTACTTTTTACTTTTTTTGATTTCATTTGCCTGAATAAATAAAATTCCAAATGCAATTGCCATGCCTACCTGCAACTGGCCCAAAATCAAGAAAAAAAATGGAAAAATGTGATGGACATAACCAAATGTCTTATCATCTTTCAGACCTACCTTAATTAGGCTCTTGATTAAGTCAAATGACCCAAAATGTTTTTATAATTGGTCACAGCGTTTAATTGCTAAAAACATAAAATAAACTAAAAAACATAAGTACCTATGTTTTCTCAAAATAAAAAAAGTTCCGATATAAACAGATCTGTTAATATAGTTCCAGTCCATTGGGTCCCAAGTTAACCACCACCTATTGTTTAAAAAGCAAAACAAATGCGCACTATTTTATTATCTCGCAGTTTAACAGCAGAAACCTTTTTATACTTTAGTTAAGCCATTTTTTGGCTATTAAAATAATTATATGTCAATTTGTATATCTTCTTGTAAAAATCTTGTTCTGATGTATTTACACATGTTAATTTTTGTTTATCCTAATGTTTAAAAAGTTAATCATAAAATAAAATTATTGAGTTTTTGATATGTAAATAAATATTTCATCACAGAGCAACGGCTTTATAAGCATGTAGATTATTAAAGTGTCCTTGAGACACTTTTAGTAGTATATGAATATGGCTTTTTTTCTATATTACCAAAATGAGATTATAGTTTTTACATCGCGAACTACGGTCTACGTTATTGTAGGTAACTCAATACCTAATAAATGAGCAAACTGAGATAGAAACCTAACACATCGTTTCTGATTGCATATGAAGACTACCCTTACTGTCGGCCTTTTTCAGATCTTCTCTCTGAAACGGTAACTGAGAAGAATCAATTACAATAGAGGGCCTTTGTGGTAACTGATTTATGAGAGGAGCGGCCTCACTTAAAGTGTTAGAGTCGCAGGAATCTTGGCGCAAGGTCTCATTTTGACCGGACGTCGATGGACCGTCCTCCGGAAGCGGAACGCCGGCTATGTCGTCTTCGATCGCGCTCGAACGTCTTAAAGCTCTCAAAGGCAGAGGGGTACGGTAAAGTTCGCAGGTTTCGCGAACCACCGTCAGCATGCCCGGATTCGGTACGTCGTCCTCGATGTACCTTCTTTGTATGAGATTTTCCATTAGCATGTAGTCGCTTTCTTCGGCGTCGCGAAGGTGCTCTTTCTCGATATGTAACGCTATTTCAGGATTGGACATTTCAGACGTGTGACGTCTTCGTGCTGTTACGACAATTAAATTAAAAAATGATTGAGACGCAAGTTTTAATTAGCTTTCTTACACGGTAAGGCGGTGGCGTTTTGCCCGGGGCGCGGCGGCGATAGAAGGTTCGGCGTTCTCGGCGGACTTAATAATCCGCAGACGGTTTCGAGTTCGTCCGTTATGCTGGTGTATTCCGTATGCATGGCCATTAGCATACTACGAGCGTTGTTTTGTCCCGCAGTGGTCGGTGGTATAACTGTGATCGTCGGTTCCGCAAACGTGACGCTCCGTTCCACTGTACCTGCGCGCATCGGTAGGTTGGCCAATACTGAATGCTCGCTGTTGTCGGGTTCTGAATGTGTCTGTGAAAATTGGCGGACGGCAAGAACTGGGCGACTGCCGTGTAAAGAGTCTCCTGAAAAGTATAAAATAATATTATAGGACTTGCATGTAATGTAACGGGTACAAACACAAACAACAGAAGAAAAGAGAAGAACGAAATAAAAATGAAGAAGGGCAACATCAAAATTATCATATTACGGAATGCAGCGGGGGTAGCATATGAAAGATATAGAGGGAAGGCAACAGAAGGGTAAAAAGAGGGGTAAACAGGTATAACTTTAACCGAAAACACTTTTGTTTTGACATCACCAATGGATATATTTCAGTCGCCCTTTGTGAGTACCCTCTTCCGACAATCCGTTCTTGAGGTATAATGGAATATACCCGACCACGATAAAGCGTCGACGAGGAGGGCTATGGTTGGTAGAAATTAATCCCTTTCGTTGAGACCTTTCATTAGAGTACCATGAAGGCCAACAAACCCGCACTTTGATAAGAGGGCAGAAAGAAGGGCAGTAGTTGGTAGAAAACGGTTCCTTTCGATGAGACCTTTAATTAGAATACACTGAGATAAAATTAATTTTTAACCCCCCTGTCGCTCACTGATCTCGAAAAAGAGTCGCACGGGAAAGTTATAGTTTGTACAAACCAATTTATTTCGATGAGACCTTTCATTAGAATACCATGAAGGGTAGAACATGTGCCCCCCCCCCCAATTTTCTAAACTTTAACTTGGCACCACTAAAGGCATGCGTATGCAAAAACTGAGACCAATTGGTTGTCGTATGTAGAAGTTATGCACGTTTTACTTTCAAAAAGAGCATCTTCGGAAATAATTCGTGGGGGGGGGGGGGCTACCTACTGCAAAAAATTCCAGGACTCCAGGACCATTCCCCTAGAAGTAGTTCGAAACTGCAGAAGTGGGTCCGGACGGACGGACGGACAAAACGCAAACAATGGCACATTCTTAAAAAATGCGCTAAAAAATGGGATAATAGAATGGCAAGGATGGCACCTCTAAAAAGCATTATGCGGGTCACTCTGTAATTGGGCGCAAGAGAGGGATAATAAATAAGTAAATAAATATACAACAGAAAAGCAATAAAGGACTTAAAAAATAAAACAAAAAATATGGTAGATGAAAGGGTGGAGGAGGGGCTAATATTAGGGGGAGATTTTAATGCCAGAACAGGAATTAAAAGAAAATGGGTAGAGATAGGAAGAGGAACACAAGATAGAAAATCAAGGGATAAAAAGTGCAACAAAGAGGGAGAAGTGTTACTGGAGTTACTAGAAAAGAGTTTAATATGGAGGCAAATAAGGACAGGCAATCCATATGTATGAGAGGAAGAGGAAAATCAGTAATTGTTCCACAAAAGTACATTAAAAAATGGAGAAAGGTTTTCGCCCTAAGGGCTAAAGCGAATAATTTTAGTGCATTTTTCATGTATTGATCTGTACTTCTCAAAAAGTCATAGCTATGTGCGCTATGATGAATTTAAGGTACGAACAAGGATAGAATCGAATCACCAAGCGATGGAATTGAGTCTAAAAGGGAAGATATGGAGTTGGATAAACGGAGAGTAGAGGAACAAGGAGAAGAAATTAGAAGGAGTATCTAGGATAAGTGGTGGGAGAGAGAGCGCGCACAGGAGAGAGAAATAGATATACAGAAATGATACGGAGAAAGAAAGAAGAGGGGAAATACAGGAGAAAGAGGCGAAAGAACAGAAAAAAAGTACAAAAGAAAATGTAAAGAAAAAAAGATGAAGATTACGAAGAGAAAATCAGGGAACTAAAACAGAAAGAGATTTTTGCAAAGTGATAAACAGAAGAAAAATGAAAAATAGAAGAAGGTATGGAAAGGAGGGGGGTTTATCCGTAGAATGGAAGGACGGAGGCAATAGTGCAAATTTTCAAAAGAGGCGACAAAGACTATGAGCAAAATTATAGGGGAATCACGAAAATGACGAAGGCGTACTGAATAAAAGATTAAAAAGAGCAATGAAAGAAATGAGGATGTTGGAGGAAACACAAATGGGCTTCAGAAAAGGGGAAGGAAAGATCGACTGTATATTTGTATTACGCAGATGGGTGGAACAGGAATTGGAAAAAAGGGGCGGAGAATATACAGAATCAGGCATATAGAGAGAAAAGATTAAGGGTACTTATTTTATTTTTTTAAATTTATTTATTTGCCTTTATTTTTGAGTGGGCGGGGCTTCAGCCAAGGCTGCTCTACCAACCCACCCCACTATACATTTACAAATATCCATGCACGAACCCGGATTCGAACAAGGGACCCTTAGCACCACAGTCCAGTTTCAACTGAACTGAGCCACATGGGCCGGCAAGGGTAATGAATTGAATAAAAACGATAAGTCTATACAATCAATAATGCCTATTATTATTATTATCATTAGTTTACTAAGCTCGGGATGGTTTCGTTGGTGAGCAACGCGCAATAAACCATTGTTTCCATGGGCTATTTCTTAGGCCCGCTTGTACAACGTCAGTATAAACTTCAGTTAAGTTTAACTGACAGATTTCAGAAATACGATTGGTCAACTTGTGAAATATTAGCCAATCAAATCCTTTAATCCACAATTTGATTATAAACTGAAGTTTAAACATTGCACAACTGGGCCTTAATGATTTTTGATAGTGAACTAATGATAATGTTTGCATAAACCCACCATTAAAATAAAAGGAGAAGAGTCTGAAGTGTTTTGGACACGGGGACAGGAATGCCCACTTATTTAATGAATGGAGAGGTATTGGGAAAGGAAAGGAATGGTGTTAAATGTAGAAAATCAGAGATGATAAGATTTGGGAAAGAGGGGAGAGGGGCGAAAGGGAAAGAGAGATAGACTGGAAAGGGCAAATGCGCAAATAAGAGAACTAAGAAATAAGGGAGCGGTGATGATGAGAGGTGTGGGGGAATACGAAAGAGGGGTTTCAAATCAATTTCAGAACAAGAAAATTCCTATTTTTCCATAAAAAAGTGAGAGGGGGGGGGATAATTATTTTGCCCTAACCCTAATATGCGGGTAGTAAAACCGCAAGTTAATATCTTAACCAATAAGGAAGTTGCGAATGTTTTATAGGGGCATATCGGATTTTTGGACATTAACCCGTTATTTCCCATCGTACCAATTTGAGTACAGTCGAGTATAGGGAACAAGACTGTACCTACTGTGACGCCCTCTTTTTCAAATTCTGTATGATTTCTCAGACTGGCGCGAAAATTATATTCTGTAGTATATCGGGGGCGTAAAATTCAAAAATCGTCAGATACCATAATCAGGACCAAAAAAATGACCTCCTTCCGAACGCCCTAACTTATTTTGTAAGCATATTGTTGTGGAAACGCAGACATTTAGTTTGGGCATTGAATTTTAAATTTAATGGTTTGGGCTTGGCACGTATAATAATAATGGTCCACCTTGTATGTGGAATATCATTTTCTTTGTTGCAAACTTGGTTGCTGGTATTGAATTAAACATGGAGGTTCTTTTGTATTAGAATTGTTAAAAGTACCTATACATTTTGTTTCATTTGATCGCTTTATAATTTGTTAATATATTTGTAAAAATGAAATTAGGTGTTAAAAGGTAGGAACATCTGGTCATTGCGATAAGAACATGGAGTGAGGTGAAATTTAATTAGTTTCAAGATAAGCACGCGCGGTTATCGCTGATTAGAAGACAGGTGCGCAGTTTTTCCAGGGTGGTCCGACAGTGTACTTCAAAAGTAATGTAATTTAATTTCCTGCGCCGCTCCTATTGGTAGAAGTGGGTTCGAACCATTTGGAGTAAAAGGGGGTAAGGTTTGTCGCGAGACCGGCCCACCCGCCCAGTCCCCCAAGCCCAAAAGGCAAGATAATGAGTGAGTCAAAAGTAAATTCTCGTTTTCGCCAGTAAAGGAGTGGTCCATATAAGGAGTTTGTTCCTTAGGGACAGACAGTTAACGCCGCCTACTACGTCGATGTGCCGAAAGGACTCCAAAAATGGGTTAATAAGACAAGAAAAGACATCTCTGCTAGCTGGTAACTCCATCACGACTCACCACAAACACAAGGTGCCACCGCTGCCCCCGCCCCCCAGTGCTGACGTCGCCCCGGCAGACTTCTTTTTGTTCCCTCGCATTAAAGCAGTCCTGAAGGAAACCCGTTTTCGTCCATAGAAGAGATCCAATGAGCCGTGACGAAGACCCTCGAAGATGCCTTCCAGGGCGCGTACCGGTCATGGCAGAGTCGCTGAAAAAATCTGAAGAGGCCCAAGGACAGTACTTTGAAGAACTTGGAAGTGTGCAAATTTTTCAATAAATTACATTAATTATAATAATTGCATTACCTACTTTCGGAAAGCACCCTGTATATTTGGGAAATGAACATTTTCGAAATTGATAAAAACTTTTCTTTGCTAAATCGAAGCCAGTGCTGTGGGGCCATTTTGGGACCTTAAGTACCAAAAAATCACTATAAAAAATGTCCCTCCATAAAGAAAGTCCTTTATATTGTCATGTAAACTACGTCGTATGATTTTTGTAACGAATTGGCACCTGTTGGTAAGTGTTTCGAAAATGGTCTGTGGCCAAGAGCTCATTCGATTGGTTAATGTGAGAAATAAATAAGGAAAAGGTATTGTGAGCGGATTTGTAGATTCAGGTAGTGTATGCAAAAGTGATCTTTAAGTTAAAACATCCATTACCAAAGAGCCATATAGAATTGTTACTATAAGTACACTACATTTACGTCAATAAACGAGAATTTGAAAAGGAAAAGGAAAGAGTTTGAAGGCAATTCCATTCTGTGAATGTTTTTCTTTGGTGCATTTGTGAAAGAAAATCGGAGATAGGACCGGGTTTAAGAATTATTAACTTTATAAGGTAATGAAAACTTTATGTAACTCATTTTGTTTCAATCGATCGCATGTTGTGGTACTTTGTTTGCAGGCCCTGAGTACCTTTCTTTCTTTCAGTATTATTAATTGTTTTTTGTCGAATAAATTTATCTCGTGTGTAAATGATCAGTTTTGTGTTTAATCGAATTACGACCCAGATAAGAATTTTCATTATACATTTTCTTTTAATTTTGACAGAACGAATATTAATTTGTGAATTAAAAATGTTTAAAAAGTGATTGTAAACATCTAGTTCCTTTTGGCCTTTTGAAGCCGTTTTCAGTTGTGAATCCGTTTTTTTTGTACTTTTGTGTCGGTCATATTGGGTCAGTTGCAATGAATCCGAATGAAAATTCAGCTTGTTCTAAAAGTTTTTCGGCAGTAGTTAATGGACTTTTCCTTTGGACAAGACCAATTTTGACATTTTTAAAAGGTGAAACACAATTTTTTAAAGAGATATTTGAAAACAAAATTTACCATTCCCGCCATCCGAACTGCGCCGCCCAGTACCGGCAGAATCCCTCCTCCGCTTCGCCGCTCTCCACCTTAACGTATCCAAACTGAGCGCCGCCAAGTCGTCCGCCGACAATTGAACTTCGTCTTTTTCATCCAAACTTTCCAGCGACGTTTTCGACTCACTACTTCTCTGTCTCTCTTCTAAAAGATTCAACTGTTTTCTGCTACCTGCGAGCAAAATTCGTAAAAACCTAATCCGTCTAGTTCTACAACGTACCTGTAGCCGAAAAAGTCTCCGCGTCGTTAGTCTCGTCTTCTTCTTCCACGGGCCTTACCTCAAAATGTAGTCCGTCGTCGAATATGTACGCGTCGGGACGAACTTCTGTGAGTGATCGTATGGGTTTCTTGCGAACCGGCTGTACGGATAAATGTGACTCTTCCGAGGGAGCCTCGGATCTTTCGCTTGTTTTTCTTGTGCGATCGGTAACTATTTGTATTGGCGGTAACTCTTCGTTGGTACGCGTCGCCATAAATCGGTGTATGACGGCTAGGTGAGCGAGAATATCTTGAGATGCCTCCTCGACTTTTCGGAGGCGAAACTCCACACTTTGCATCGAGGAGGTTTGGTTGTTTTCTTTTGTATTAATATCTTCCACTTTCTGTAAGAAAGTCACATCTTCAGTTATAGTTCAGAATTTAAGAAGATTGAAGAAGTTTAAGTTAAAAAAACAATATTTTTTTTGTTGAAGTTGAAAGTGAGAATTTGTTGAGTACAAACATTGAGTAGATTTATTAGGGTCCGTGAAGTTAGCAGAACATTGAAGGCACAAATGTCGAGACTAGGTGGGTTGGTTAGTGCTTCGTTTGTGCCGGTTTGTGCCGTAAAAAGTTTGCCAGCAAAACATACGGTTTGGAAATTATTTCGATTTTTAGAGGTTCTGCTAATAGGCCAGTCATTGAGGATTTTTAGGTGGAAATAACTCGGGAAGTACAGACATTTTGTATGCTTGAGTGCGTACAACTAAAATTCATAAAATGCACAATTCTAAACTTGCCGCCGGGGCCGCCATCTTACCAAGATGGCCGTCAAAAGCGGTTTTCCGCCGATATCTCCAAAACTGTGCATTTTACGAGAAAATATGTGGTGAGCAAAATTAAAGAGACAAAAATTTCCTACAAAAAATGTAGATAGCATATTTCCACTAAAGTTAGCCCTTGCGCAGAAAAGCAGAAATTTTTAATAACCAATGGCGTGTATTTTATCAAAATAATTCATTAATCATTTAATTAATTAATCATTAGTCTATGATCAATTAATTTTAAGTAACATTAGATTCTCTATTTACGCAGGCCTGACGGACCTGGCGGTTCGTTAATGTCACTGTTTTCATTGCCGAATACGTTTATCCCTATTTCGGGATCAACGTTGGCTTCTTTGAATTCGTCGGATTCTCCTTTTTCGGTCGATAAAGGAATATCGATACATATTCCACAAATTACGTTTGTGCCGGTTTGTGTTGTATTGCCAGGAAAATATTTTCCTGGAAGAAGTTATTTCGATTTTTAGATGTCTGTAGATGTTTGCTATAACTTCGCACACTTTTGTCGGCATAAATTTCGAGACTAGATTGATTGGTTAGTGCTACGTTTGTGCCGGTTTGTGGGGTAAAAAGTTTGCCAGCAAAGCATTGCCTTTGAAGGTTATCTCAATTTTTAGATGTTCTGGAAACCTTGTACACTTTTGTCGCTATACTCTTGAAACTAAGTATAATGTTCATGTCGCGCATGGGTTAATGTTATCTTTGTGCCAGAATGTATAGTAAAAAGTTTGACCAAAAAAGGGAATGTGTGAAAACTCCCAGCACGTTTTTAATAAGTATTATAGTTTTCACACAAGTGTAGTGTGCTTTTGATGACACTTTATTGTCTAATTTGTTGACAATTGTATGCCATACATTTGCAGATGGTTTGTTTATATAAGATCATCCTTGTGTTGGAGAAGAACGTGTGTGTTAGCTTCGTTTTTTCAATGACAGCCTTTCGCGGGGTGTTGTACCAAATGTAAAATAATTGAAGTTACAATTAGCATCTGTCTGTGGTGTCCTTAGTCATTCGTGAGATTGGGTCTCCAAATGGTAAAGAACTCAGGGGATAACTGTTATATAAGTCCAAATCTGCTAAATCCGATTGCACTACATGAAATAGATAAGAATCCCTAAGTTCTGCCGTTGTATATACAAGATAAGTGTACGGAGTCGGGTAAATCATATCGGACCTAATCTCGTGGGTTTCGTGGAACACCTTGTATATTTTAATCTAAAAAGGTAGCATATTAAATATTTTATTTTTGAGTGGGCGGGGTTTCATCCAAGGTCGCTCTACCAACCCAACCCACTATACATTTACAAATATCTATGCCCGAACGCCGATTCTAACCAGTGACCCATAGTACCGCACTCCAGCCTAAACTGAATTGCGCCACACGGCCTGATAAAAATATAACACACCATGAATGATATTGGTTTTCTATGCGATTTTTTTAAACTTTATTACTTTTAGTCACAGTAGGCTATGAAAAATAATCTTTTATTTCGTTCTCAAGTTTCTATAATTTTTTTATTTACTTTCTTGTGCCAGACTCTTTGTCTGTTAAAATGTTTCCAGTTACAATGTCAACACAGTTTAGTTTCTAGATCAGCTTTTGTTTCACATCGCCTACTGTGGTTTAAAGTAGTATATAAAGTGTATATAAATCGCATATATCATCTATGATATTACCATAATATAACACAATAGTAAAACAACGCGTTTGAATTTTGGTTAGTTCATATTTGTGATTGCTAGATGTCTCACGAGTCGTGTAAGACCATAGATATATAAATACATGTAAGAGTTTGTAAAGTGGTGTGCGCCCATGATACGACGCGACGTTAGGCGCTACCAATTGTAATTGAATCTTCCCTTCAGTAGATGTCGCTGAACCCAGTACAGTTAACCATACGAAATGTGTTTAACTTCAACAGGGTAATGTCTATATTGCACTGATTTACTGTAATACCACGCCAGGTGCATGCTATAGATCAGAATATCAACTCCATTTAAATCTTCGTTACCACTAATTATAATATACTGAACATCAACGTCAAACATTACCACACAGAGTAAACAGTTGTGTGAAAATAAGATGCTGCTGTTCCAACAATCCAGAATTTTGAACAGAGATATTTAATGTAGGTATATTATCGAAGACGGGCGCCATTTTTCGCGTCTAGTTTTCAAGGCACAAATTAAAAATTCTGAAATAGGGTTACTTAGGAGAAATATTGCTTCAAATAAATTTGTTACACGATGACAAGAAAACCGTTTATAACAGTTTGAAATTCATGCGATATTTTTGCTCCACCCTGTAGAATCCTCGTGGTTATTCAAACGTTACCAAATTTCCCATGTCGAAATGCTAACCAATCGATTACACTGAGGGATCATAAATTATTGCGTACGTGTCGGAATAGCAAAGCAGCTTCATGGGGCTTCTCCTTTAGTTGAGCAGGTATGTCTTATTACATTTGCAGAAATTGATAAAAATCATATAATTAACAAAAGTAGCGTTTCATGTATCTTTGTTGCCGTAGACATTAATTTTCCTCTTTGAATCATTTATTTATTTTCTGAGCTACCTTAGAAAAAGGTAATTCAATTAGGAAGCGATATTATTTTATATCACTTTCTTCTTAGATGGAAGAAAATACAAGTATCACAACAAGCAACGGTACGCTAAAATAATTGCGTATGTACCTAACTATGTATGCACATAAGATTCATAGTGTAAAAAAATTTTAATCCGTTTTATTATTAAACATCTAATGGTAAAAAACGATATGAGAAAGTGTAACAGAAAACAAAAACTCTCAAATGAAATCCTCTCCTTGCGAAGGGAGATTACTGTCTTTACAGCTATTCGGAAGCCGGCACCGCAATAAAAGTTCTCCCTTCTAAATTTCTTTTAAAAGGTTCGTATTTACTTCAAGTTCTCACCTCCCGGATAACTCACATGTTCAATTTCCTACCACTCGGAATTCGTTATCGATCCCATATAAACTTTCAATGCTATCCAGACCAACCTTCGACTATATCTTGTTTGCAACCATAGATGGAAGCATATAGCACTGACGGGTAAAAATAATTATAATTTAAAAGAACCGATTTCTTCTGTAATCAAATTCAATAAACTGAAGGATTGGTTTTCTAAGAAAGCAAAACTGCACCAGAGATGGAAACAGAACAATGATTAAATACCAACTGAGTTTGGACGAAAATAGTCTTTCCGAAATTCAATTCAAACGTTTTTGAAGGATCAGAACTCTAGGGTGTTATATATCTATAAGACGGGGATTCTGCTGATTTATCGTTTGTTACATTTTGATTCGTGTGAAAAAATGTATGATATATGTATGCAAGATTAACGTGCCGAATAGGCATTGCAGTTCGTTACAAAGCACGTGCGATGAATATACGTGGCGGATCAAACCAGATTCAGAGATAGCGTTGTGAAGACATTATCCGAAAATGTTTATCTAAATCCCGATATACAACTTCAAGAGATGTTTACGTGTAAACGCAACAGCAAAAGATAAATTGCTGCCAATCAATTTTGCAAGAGCGGGAAATTAATTTAATATATACTTAATTGGGATGCTTACTTAATCATGAACATTACACGAAAATTTCAAAGACCGCGTAAAAGATTGTTCTTTAATGTTGGGGTAGAGCTGCCGAAAACACAAGAGTGAAATAAGTGCGCATACATGTACATAGATTTCTTATAAGAGAATACGTACGTACAATTTCCTTATGTATCGATCACATCAAAGCATTAGAGAATTCATAAGTAGTATCTAAATAACAGTAGGTAAATAATAAATAGTTCTAATGTTCTTGATCTTAGAAAGAGTGGACCAAATTTACGCAACCCTAATTGCACCGAGAGTTAATTTTTTCCCGAAAAGATCAGCACTATCACCAGTAATCCTAAAGTTATTTATTAGCCATCAACTTAGGTACGCCAAAAATTGTAACGGGAGCTCTGCGTTGTAGTTTAAATTTTTTCCCCAAATTTTACATATAATTCTTTCATTTGTACAGGGTGGTTCACATTCGTGGCTCACCATTAGGATCGCCGAAAAAGTGAATTTCCAGGGTATACGATAGCAGCGTTGCTAATCCTACCATTGTAAGTTTCGTTAATTAGTTACTGTTGGACAACCAGTTAATTTTTTTGCAACACACAAAATGTAATAAATATAGTGATTATACTTTTTAGCACATTTTCCCAAAAATAAAATTTGTGACCACTTTTTCCATTCGCTTAGAGCTGTGTGTCACTATCAGATTTATATCTTAAAGGACGCTCATTATTTTGGTTAATTTTTTTCTGATTTTGGGTTCTGGTCATCATTGAGATGCCTCAAAATGGCATTTTTAACCGAACCGGTACTGTTGCAAAAAGATGGCAAAATAACGATTTGTCATACCATTTCGATTTTGCACCTTTTGCTATTATTAGAGTCACTCGACTTCTTACGTGGCTTAAATATCCCTCCATTTTCAAGTTCATGGTACACAATATAATATACAATATACTGGTAGGCATTAATCTTTAT